GGTTATAAATTAAAATTTAAAAAAAAAAAAGAAAAAAAAAAGATGATCCAGTGTAGTAACACAGTCACCTCAAGTTGGTGGAGTTATGGTATATACCCCTTCCCCATTTATACATATTAATAGACATACACACAGTTTCTTTTTTGTGCAGTTTCTGAATTTTCTACAGTAAGCATATATTACTTTCACATATAGATTCACAAAGTTATAAACAGCAAAAAGAAAATAGGCATTAACCAGTATCTTTGCTTAGCCACCAGAGACCCTATTCCTTCCTCTCCCCTCTCCCAAGTCATTTTTGCTGTGCTAAGAAGAATGCTACTTCTTCAGGTATTAAGACTCTCTGCAATAATTCAAGTCCAATTGCAAAAAATCCTTGGACAAATATAAAGAGACTGCCAGCATTAATTATTAGTATAAAGTTAATAGTTTTTTCAACTAAAGCTAATTGAGCTACCCAAAACACAGGTAGCAGAGGAAAGAACAGACTCAAGAAAGATAGCAAGAGCAGCACGTTTCGCCATCCTGTGCCAGTGTGAATTTGGGCACAATGTGACAATATGTGACAGGAGATGCAGATCTCTAGTCTCCAAATCCTCACCACTGCCAGCCCCCATTGGGTACACACTGACACATGACTTTGACCAACTCCAGAGCAGCCTCTATTCCAGACACCAACATCTAGTCCCCTCAGTGCTCAAACTGTTTCCTAGTTCTTCAAAAAGAGCAAGGGCTGTCAGGCCCCCTAATTCCTTTCTTTGTCTGAGGGTTGGCTTTGTCCCATCATCTAGCTTTTCCAATATTCTCCAATAATACAAAACTATCACAGAATGTTTTTGGGCCCCTGCTATAGCATTTCTACCCCAATTATGGTAGCGGAAGATACCTGAAGAGGTGCATCAATATTCCACCATCACATACATTTACTCAAGGCCTATAACCAGGGAACATGAAGAGCAAAGTCATGGCTCCTGGGGGCTCATAGTTCAGCAGGTAACAAATATGTGTAAGTAAATGTGCTAAGTCCTATGATGAGGTATGAAAGGATGCTATGATAAAACAAAGAAATTAAGCACAAACTACCTGGGAAACTGCTAGAGAGAGCTTTACCAGGGAGGTGGCCATGGAGTCCTAAATAATGCAGTGGCAAGCAGACAGGGATCAAGGTACTCCAAAGAGTGTAAACTGGATAGATAAAGGCTCAGAAATGAGAAAGCATAACAGCTTTGATGAATCTGAAGTAAGCTGAGACAGTTGAATATTAGGACACATGTAGAGAGTAGTGGGAGATAGGACTAGAAAGTAGGTAGGGGCAAGATTAATGAAGAACTTATTATGTCACACTAAGGAACTGGTTTTTATCCTGGAAGCAACAGAGGACCACTAAGGAATTTTAAGCAGAAGAATATGCTTACATCACCTTCTGGAAAAAAATCACCTTGACTGTACCATGAAGGACGAGCTCGAAGGGGACAAGCATGGATTAAAGGCAAAAGACTCATGAGGAGGCTCCAATAATGGTCCAGGTAAGAAAAAGAGGATCTGAACTAAGGTGACAGTAGTAATAGAGAAAACAGACTAAGTCAAAGAGGGTTAAGAGGAAGATAATCGGGGTGCCTGGATGGCTCAGTCAGTTAAGCATCTGACTCTTGGTTTCGGCTCAAGTCATGATTACGGTTCATGAGTTCAAGCCCCGCATCAGGCCCTGCGCTGACGGTGCAGCATGGAGCCTGTTTGGGATTCTGTATCTCCCTATCTCAGCTCCTTCACCACTTGCACTCTCTCTTGCTCTCTCAAAATAAATAAATAAACTTAAAAAAAGGAAAGTCACTGGAAGATCTGCTCACTGAATGGATTTGGGAAAGTGAAGAAGAGGTGGAAAATACAGGATGGCCCCAGGTTTCTGGCTTGGGCAGCTGCACAGATGGCAGAACCATTGACCAGGACAAGAAATAAAAGGTGATCACATTCTAGAGGTTATGCTGATAACGCTGAGATACTTGTCAAATATTCAGATGGATGTCTAGTAGTCAGAAATATAGGTCTGGAGTTCAGAAAAAAAAGATGTGTGCCAGCGCTGTAGGTTTTAGCATTTATTAGCACAGTGAAAGCCTTGGGCATGGCTAAAACCATCCATCACGAAATATATAAAAGGAGAGGAGAACCAAGGATAAAACCCTGAGAAGCATCATGGTTTAGAAACTTGCAGAAGATGAGCTATCAAAGGAAACATAAGAAACAACAGCCACTGAAGTAGGAAAGAATAAAAAAAATGGTATCACAGAGAACAAAGAAGGTTTGAGAAGATATGAATAGAGTTAACTGCTATGAGAAAAACGACGACAAATATCCCCTAGATTTGATAAGGAAGAACATTGGTAACAACAGCAAGAATCGTTTCAATGAAGATGGAAACAGTACCTGACTCCAAAGGGTTGAAGAGTAGGAAGTAAAAAAGTGAAAAATGCATGGCACAAAAACAGACACATAGACCAATGGAATAGAATAGAAACCCCAGAACTAGACCCACAAACGTATGGCCAACTAATCTTTGACAAAGCAGGAAAGAACATCCAATGGAAAAAAGACAGTCTCTTTAACAAATGGTGCTGGGAGAACTGGACAGCAACATGCAGAAGGTTGAAACTAGACCACTTTCTCACACCATTCACAAAAATAAACTCAAAATGGATAAAGGACCTGAATGTGAGACAGGAAACCATCAAAACCTTAGAGGAGAAAGCAGGAAAAGACCTCTCTGACCTCAGCCGTAGCAATCTCTTACTCGACACATCCCCAAAGGCAAGGGAATTAAAAGCAAAAGTGAATTACTGGGACCT